TAGTCTGCAGTTTACACTGACTGCTCAAGGAACTATAATGTTGATTCTATTCTCTGCATTATTACATGGTACAGGTAGTGGCAGATGTCCAGCTGATAACACCACGACCTCACACCAAACAAAATAACTTAAGTGGCTATTAAGTCCAATTGGAGCATAGTTGGATAAATTACCTAATATTCAAGAAATAAACAGAATTTAATAATTAATAAAACATTAATTTATTAAAATGCCAGTACACCTGAGAGCAGTGCATTAATTAACAGCACGTGCTTCAGAAGACACAAGAGACATACACAGGGCATTAATAGATTTTTCAGTTATTTTACTTATTTATTTATTTTTTTGTTTAATTCTGCACGGGTTACTAGTGGTCCCAAACCAATGCTTGTCACTGGTTCTGGATGCAGTTGGTACAGTGGTTCAGTTCAGTACTTTTTAGTTCTTATTTCTTCTTTTCCTTAAAACTTCTTTTGCCATTAACCGACAAGATTCTTGATGCTAATGTTAGAATAGCATGACATCCATGAGAAGAAAGAATCGCTTATTTTCAGATAGCCATGAAATAAACAAGTGCAGTTACTCAAAGATTGTTTGTTTGTTTCATATGATAGGTCTGTCCTCCTTCCTAGAATAACAGCTGTTCAAATGCATTTTTCGTGACATAATANCAGGTAGTGGCAGATGTCCAGCTGATAACACCACAACTTCACACCAAACAAAATAACTTAAGTGGCTATTAAGTCCAATCGGAGCATAGTTGGATAAATTAGCTATTCAAGAAATAAACAGAATTGAATAATTAATAAAACACTAATTTATTAAAATACCAATACACCTGAGAGCATTGCATTAATTAACAGCACATGCTTCAAAAGACACAAGAGAGGCACAAGAGACATACATGGGACGTTAATAGATTTTTCAGTTTTTTATTTATTTATCTATTTATTTATTTATTTATTTATTCATATTTATTTTTTTTGTTTGTTTTTTCAATTCTTCACGGGTTACTAGTGGTCCCAAACCAATGCTTGTCGCTGGTTCTTGAAGCAATTGATACCCTGCTTCACTTGAGTACTTTTAGTTATTATTTCTTCCTTTCCTTGAAACTTCTTTTGCTACTAACCGACAAGATTCTTGATACTAATGTTAGAATAGCATGACATCCATGAGAAGAAAGAACTGCTTATTAGCACACAGCCATGAAATAAACAAATGCAGTTACTCAAAGATTGTTTGTTTGTTTCATATGACAGGTCTTTCCTCCTTCCTAGAATAAAAGCTGTTCAAAGGCATTTTTCATACCATAATATTTGATTTCATTTGATTTTCAGATGTATAATAAATTGTGAACCTAAAATCAGTCCATCAGTTAAACTAAGTATCCAGTCACAGTGCTATGGAGCGCACTGCTCCAAAATATCTTCATACCAATGGATACTTTATGAACAATACCCATCTGCCACAAAAAATGACACTGTTTGGAGGAAAATACAAGATTTGAAACTTATCACAACTACATCCCTCGATTCTAGCAGTATTGTAATCAAAGAGGACTCCCTTGATNAACATTGGGATCCCTCATTTTTATTTCAAAGTTTAAGTTCCTATGATATAAACAATCAATAGGCAAAGTTTCACAAAAATCTCAGTGCAGGTTCTACTTCAGTGGAATGACCTTAAGTGGTTATTAAGTCCAATTAGAGTATAGTAGAACAAATTAGCTATTCAGAAATAGACAGAATTGAATAATTAATAGCACATTTTAAAATTTATCTAAAATGCCAGTACACCAGAACAGTGCATTAAACAGCGCATGCTTCAGAAAGACATCAAAGACATGCCCGCACTTTAATAGATTTTTTTCAGTTATCTTGTTTATTTATTTTTATATTTATTTATTTATTTATTTACTTGTTTTTCAATTCATCACGGGCAGTGTTCTCAAACCAATACTTGTCATTAGTTCTGGATGCAATTGGTTATTTCTTCCTTCCTTGGAACTTCTTTTGCCACTAACCGACAAGGTTCTTAATGCTAATGTTAGATTAGCATGACATCCATGACAAGAAAGAAATGATTATTAACACATAGCCATGAAATAAACAAGCGCAGTTATTCAAAGATTGCTTGTTTGTTTCATATGATAGGTCTCTCCTCCTTCCTAGAATAAAAGCTGTTCAAAGGCATTTTTCATCCCATAATATTTGATTTCATTTGATTTTCAGATGTATAATAAATTGTGAACCTAAAACCAGTCCATCAGTTAAACTAAGTATGCAGTCACAGTGCTATGGACCGCAGTGCTCCGACATATCCTCATACCAATGGATACTTTATGAACAATACCCATCTGCCACAAATAATGACACTGTTTGGAGGAAAATACAAGATTTGCAACTTATCACAACTACATCCCTCGATTCTAGCAGTATTGTAATCAAAGAGGACTCCCTTAATGGCGGAAAGAACTACCGGCTGGCATTGTTTGTTCAAACCATGGACGGTCAACAAGGAATGAGTGCTCACGATATCTCCACCGCATCACTACCTACAGGGGGAACATGTTCCATCACTCCATCAAATGGCACCTCACTGAAGACTGTTTTTAACTTGAGCTGTAGTGACTGGGAAAGTGACAGCACCCCCCTGTCTTACTTGTTTCAATATCAATTACAGAATGGTCTACATGGGCTGTTGTACAATGGCTCTAGTAGCAGTGTTAACTCATGGCTGCCATCTGGAAAGCTGTCTTGGAATTATGCTGTGAAGGTCAATGTCACGGTGACTGATAAAAATGGCGTGTCTGCTCCAAGAGTTCATTTGCCTGTGCAGGTACAGTATATCCTTGATTACAATATTAACTCTTCCATCACATTGCAAATGAATAACATGTATGCATATAAAGATAACAGGTTGTCACTTTTAACAACCAATATGTTGTCATATGTTACACATAAATCCTTCTGTAGGTTGAACCATTTCCAGAGCTCTTGAGACCAGATCAAATCAGCAGACGTATAACAGCAAACGACAGTGAGTTTAATAATGCAATCAAAGATGGGGATCTCAACAAGGCAGAACGATTAGCAAATGCAATCCTTCAAGCAATTTTAGAGGATGCTACAATGGATTCAACCAAAAAATCCAAGGTAATCAATTAACTTTCGCTAAATTGCTGCTACAGTGTACATGCAGTTTTTTCTGTACCATAGGTTCAAAGTTATCATTTCATCTGGACTACGAGTAGTCCCTCTTTTGCTTAGGCTGTATGAAATAATGGGGGCGAGAAGGACTTCTCCATCCCAGGATTTCACGCGGCCATTTTTTTCTTGCGGTTTATTTACGGTCGCTCTCGACGGACTAAGGGAAAGATGGACTACTGGTAGTCTGCATATCATTAGGTTCGATTACCAGCCGCTGTTCGGGAAAGGAGCCCGTGCTCCTCCCCCGAACTCACGGCTGGACTTGTGGACTTGGCATTGCTAATTTCAACCAATAAGAAATCCGCCCGCCTGAATCGAGCAGGCTGCATAAATTAGCTTTCTCGCAGTAACAAAGAAGTCGTGCANACATGCAGTGCGATTGCATTAGTGGGGCATTTAACCAAATACCGTCAACTGATGAAATCTTGCCTGATCTAAACCATAGTGGCATATACAACACGCAAAACAGTCAACAGACTTATGCGTTAGAATCTATGTTTGAATCATGTGGTGCCAGAATGTCAGATAACGAACAAAGTCAACAAAGAGAGGGATAAACGCAAATATCAATCTCAAGAAACGAAACACTCAGTCAAATTGATGTGTACGGTAGTCTTCTTGAAGGGAAGCGACACCAGTCTCTGGCGAATCCAGAAAAAATTAAGTTTTTAAACGGGCCAAAGCAAACTGAACTAGCAAAACATAAACATAGTGTCAACACCATGCACACCATACAACCTATGTGTGACCTTTAACATGACAATCGGCTACACCATGGTCAAACAGCTCTGCATTACTTTTTTTAAAAAAAAACTCATCTATAGAACACAGCATGTAATGCGCTTCCGCAACAATAATGTGAAACAAAATAGGTTGGAGGGCCAAAATTAAAAGAAGAAGTGGCGAAAACGCAACAAATTTTACGAGCCGTAGGCGTTATGTGGGCCTGCTTATGATTGTCATCAGATGACATTTCCGGCCACCTGAAGCACCTTAAGAATTAAATTATGAATTTACGTCACAAACATGCTTTGCCGCTAACGCGTCCAGCCGTCTCTTCTCGGGGAGGAACGTAGACCGGACTCGAGAAAGCGGCGGAAATCGAGCCTAGCATATCATCAGGTGAGCGTAAATTTAATTATGAGTTCAGTTCTCTTTTCGTGCATTTAAATCAGATTCAAACATTTTATACAGTTTTGAATTAGACTGTTCACAGCCCTCTATTTTCTCGTATTCTTATTCCATGGTTGAACGCACAGACAGAATCACTAGAGAACTGGACGCCAGCGCAAAACGGAAGGCTTGACTCGGTAGGGGGGTGGGGACCGAGATAACCCACCCCCAGCCCCTGCGTGCTTCGCGCTCGCTTCGCTTGCTGTTTCTTTGGCGTGCGTAAATAGAGAGGCTGTGAACAGTCTAGTTGTGAATATAAACTGTAACTAGTAACTGTATTTCAACAATCGATTCAATAATTGATTATTTTTTGTCCTATCCTTAATTTGCTTTATATTAATGACCATGTTAGCATTTTGATTAAATGTGAAGTGTTCTAATGAACATTTGAGTCTTTAAACAAAGGAATCTCAGTTCATCGCGTTCAAACATGAGAAAATCAAAGCTATATGATTTGCCAAAAACATAGCCTGAGTGCAGATGTCTACTTTACTTTTCTTTTCCTGAGGGAACAGCACAACCGTTCGAGCTGGGGGGGGGGGGGAAGGCGAGGGGTCTGCAGCCCCTCCAGCTACGGAAAATTACGTAATTTTTCGGGCAAAACGGTCATGATGCAGGCAAGCAGACGTGAAAACAGGCAAGCAGACGTGAAAGAAAACATTACGCTGTTGGCGTGATTTCCAAAACTCGTAAAAAGCGTTTCTACTTTTTATGAATCTCTGTGTGATTAGAATCCCGACCGGGAGTCCATAGGCCGTTAAGTGGATTCTTCAGAGAGTTGATGCTCCAACCTGGAAGTATAGTGCCGTGTAAAGTGTACCATTTGTATCTAAGACGCCACAGTAGTCAGTCAGGACAACGGCCTTTCCTTTCTGGCCTTTCCTTTTAGATTTCAAGGCTTGGAAGCTACTTTCTCTGACATCTGCCTTGCAAAAAAGGACTTAGACTGAAATGATATGAGGGACCTGGGGTTTTCTGTCAGCTACAAGTCGGTTAAATGTGTATCATAAAAATCCACGACAGGATATTATTTCCTTTCCCAATTTTCCTTCAACAAATCAAAGGGTACGAAGACCAAGACTTTTGTTTTTTGCAGTGGTTCTAAAAAGGGCCGTTTGGAATGTCTCAACAAAGGGGTGTTTTAATTTCTTTCTTGAAATTTTCTTTAGAGGTGTTCCTCTAGTACGTCCATGTGCAGCATAGAAGGCTTGCAGTATACGCTGCAAATCTGCTGTGGCCAAGAATATCGGCTCAAACGACTTCTACCAACGCCTCATGTTGTTCTTTAAACGTCTCGAGTATGTCAAGATGTTCGTCTCGAATATTGGATTGCTTCTGTAACACGTCCAAACGGTCCATCTTGAAACACAAATGTCACTGTTGCTGATCAGACGAACACCATGAAAATAAACACTTTTTCTTTTGATAAGTTTTATATTTTACTAGATTGAGACTGTTCATAGAGGTCATTGAGTATGCAAGCTTTCAATATAACTATCTTTGTGAACGTTTTGGTTTTTCACGCAATTTGATTGCATTTGCATTCGCGGGGGGGGGGGGTGCTCCCATATGTGGATTATATAGGTGTGTGGGGCCCCAAAGGGTACGGTCTTTGAGCCATTTTTGTCATAAATAGGGTATGGTTTCTGCTCTTTAGTCTTGAATTGGGAATGTTTTTTATAGAAGATGCTACTTTTTCATTTTTATCGATAAGACCATCAACAAAAGCCCTTCATAAATTATGTTTAGGGCAACTGTGCCAGCGGCAGTGGTCGTAAACAGGATCAGGAGCCAGGATATCAAAATTTTGGTCAGGTCATAAATAGGGTAGGGAAAATTGCAGGTTGTGGTCATAAATAGAGTAAGGGTTTTGGAAAGCGGGCCACACACCCCCTCTCAATTTTTCTAGGAGTACCCCTCCGGGGGGTAGCATCCCAATTTCAACACTCACCCGTTCGAGCATGGCGTACCTTTTTTCGGGCAAGAAGGTCACCGCCCCCCCCCCCCCCCCCCCCCCCCCCCCCCCCCCCCCCCCCCCCCCCC